AATATGGGGGGGTACGTGGGGTAGTGCGTATAGCACTGTAAGCTAACATTCGATCGCTTTATTTACCTTTACACATCCACACAATTAAATATATAAAATATAATTTCTAACCTTATATGAACCTCAACACTGACGACGACCAACGCCGCATATGTGGTCTGTCAACACGTCGGCTACTCCTACGACACGTGCGACCTCAATACAAGATCAATGTCTCCCATATGTCGGTACGACTACCAACGCCGTATATGGGGTCTGTCAACACGCCGGCTACTCCTAAGATATGTGCGACCTCAACACAATATCAATATACCCCATATACCGATACGACGACCAACGCCGCATATGGGGCCGTCAACACGCCGGTTATTCCTACGACACATGTGACCTCACATTCACAGGGTGGTACTTATACGGGGTAATCAAACACAATTTATAAAATAATATATATATATATATATAAGTTCCACTATGCAAAACCTCAACCCCGGTATAGCATCCGATAATTCTCCAATTAAAAAAATAATAAATTAATATCCTAAATCCCACATAACCCACAAAACTAAACAACGCTCAAGACCTGTCACTAGGGTCCTTATAATCCTCCTAGGGAGGTAAACTACCTCGGAAGACTCAAGGTCAACCAAGGGTCAAACTACTCACACTTGGTCAACCGGGCCCACAGGGCCCACGACCTCCAAATTCCGATCCGAAATTTCCTATAGGTTCTACAAGGCTTAGGACACACGTCCTGCAAGTTTGGTCCAGATCAGACGGTCGGATTGCTCACGATCGCACGGTCGGACGGTTACTAAAACACTAGCCATAGGGTTGGCATTTTCGGAGTATCCGAGATTCCGTTTTACGATCCGTCGAATCCTACACGATCCTTAGGATGTCCAGATTAACCTATAATAAACTCAAGACCATCCAACGGTCCAAACCTATCGAACCAGGATAACGCGCAATAGGCGATATCCGTTCGAAACTCAAACGGTACTCAAATAGAAATCTGAGCACGCCTACGCACTCGTGGGTGCCTTGAGTAATTTCCGGCGGCCTGAAAAATCCAAATCGCCGGCCAAGCTTCCTATCCTAGGTGTAAAACCCCATTTTAAGTCACTTTTGTTCTTGGACATACCCCAAAAATTGACCGGAAGTGGCCGGAATCGCGATCCTAAATTCGGCCGAAACCCAATTCGTAAATCGGGTTGCCTACGCTACAAATTGATCAATTCCTACCCAACAGGCAGCTAGAGCTCGGAAAATAGATGAGAAAGCATACCTTGATCGCAAGATTTGGTGGCCGGAATCGCCGAAACGAGCTCCGAAAAATCTGGGTCAAAACCCAGCGGTGGGGGGGGCGGGCGGAGAGCCCGGCCGGCCAAAACGTGGCCGGCCACCGTGGCTGTCGCGAACCAGAGGAGGGAGAGAGGGACGCGCGCGGGAGAGAGAGAGAGAGAGAGTGACGGGGGCAATTCCGTCTTTTAACCAAAAATCCATTTTCCAAATATTTACGATTATGCCACTGAGCTTCATTTGATCATATCTCTCTCGTTACAACTCTGATTCGAGCCCACTACGTGTCTACGGACTCATCTCACTGTGCTCTACGCAACGGTACAACCGGAATTCCCAAATTCCTTCTGGATAAGAAAATGACTAAAATACCCCTATCCCACGGGTAATTTCTCAATTCCACTCAAATAAATTAAAACATGGGACAAATTTGGGGTCGGGGTGTTACATTTTATGTCGTTTGCTATCAATGTCATGCTTTTGTTTACATTGGGTTTTGTTTTTATCGCAAATGAATTGCAATTTGCAGCACATGATATATAATTATAAATAAAATTGTACATATAGGAAAGGGAAGGTGGAGCCAAGTGATATGGCAGTGTCATTTATGCATATGAATCGTGGCTTCGACGACCTCTTTTAAGTAGTTGGGTATAATTGCCAGGAATGTAATCAATGTTACTGCTTCCCACCCTCTCATGAGAAACTGGGTATGAATGTGCCAGGGTTGCTTTAAATTCATAAATCAATTAGATGAGGAATTGAGATGAGGAATTTAGAATTGAGTTCAAATGTGTAATTCATGATTTCTAACTTTTTCTGTCATCAACTAAACTTATATAATCCATTGTCAATGATGCAAGTTAAAGCAATAAAGAAACGAAAGAAAATCACCCAATAAGAAATTGTACAGAGGAAAAATTGGACTAATTTAACATTTTGCACATGCAGCATGTAATAATGTGGTACTGTATATGAAATTCAACTTTACACCTATGGCAGAACCATGTACCATATCATATTGCAAGTATTAATAAACGTAACACCTTTTAGGGGGAAAAAGTAACTGGAGACTTGAGCTCAAACAGTTGAATGTTCATTCAATCATCAGCCGGGATGTCCTCGTCACTCTCCAGAAATGAGCCAAGAGTCTTTCTCAGAACGCTGAAAGTTCTGTCATCCTGAGTTTATAAACAGAAAATGTGGTGTTGAGACATGTTTGCATATACATGGAGATATCAGTAAGCTTCTTCTTCTTTGTATTTTTCAAGGAAGACAGAGAGAGGTACCTGCTTCTTCTTTTTCAATGACTCTTCCAGTTTAGCAATTTTATCAGTACAAGCTTTCTCATGCTCAGATATCAGACTCCTTTCTTTCTTACCAGACATGACATCAACCCATCCGAAAATTTCACCGTAAGGAGGAGTAAAGGAGATTTATTGCTTACTCAGTTGTTCATATCGTGTGCAGAGCCATTCCTTCTCTTCTTCATAGTTGGAAATGATGCCTGTCAAATAGAACAACAATGCTTAACAGAGTCGATGGGTTATATTAGCTAATAATTGCAAGGCCTGTTCTGCAGTTTTGATATGATGCTCTTAAATTTTACTTGTTACTGGAAAATGGAGCCAAACTAAAGGGCTACATGCATAAGATGACAGTAGACTGTGTCATGTTCTGTGTGCAGAGTATAAAAAAGCAGGCTTCCTATCCATAGAAATCCGAAACCGAAAGTATGTAGACCAAAAAGCTAGTTGCTGATAAGAAACTTCGCTAAATCAATATATGCAGACAAATAAGCTAGTTTCTGATTAGGTAAATACCTATCTAATTGAATTTATGCTATTAATTACAATTACAATCCAGTTACACAGAAACGCTTTATAGTATGAAGAGAAATCAGATGCAATTACAAGATTTGGAAACTGTAAGGAACTACCTTTCAAGGCCTGTAGATGGTTGGCTTGGTCCTTGCAAAACTTCTCATAGAGTGCTTGGAACTTGGCAGTTTCAGTCTTCAAGCAATTCTCACACTGCCCACAAAAATAATCAGAACAAAAATTTTGGGCATCAAACAAAATAAGTAGAAATTCAAATTTCTCCGCAGGATCATCAATGGTTTTAGCTCTTTACTTCTCCTTCCACAGACCTCTTTTGAGCTCTTCGAAAGAGATTTAGCAAAACGTTGTTTGACAATTGAAGAATACACAAGGCATCAAATCAGTATACTGCAAGTAAAACTATGGATGCAGAGGAAAAAGAAGATTTAATGACTTAAACTAGTGGGACTTAATAGATTCTTAATTACCTATCCTTTTCAACTTCAGACTTCAGTTCAGCAATCACAGACCTGACCTCAGCAGCCACACTGTCACAAAAACACATAAATGGTAATTGAGGAAACTATAACGACATAATGAAAGCAGAAGAAATGAAAAACATAAAATTTTCAAATAATAATAAATAAATAATGCATAAAGCTATTTGAGCATTTGATATAAAACTGAAGGAAAAAAAAACATCGTTCTTCAGGTTTCACTATAAATTAGCGTTATGGATTCATATTATAAATCCTATCAGGACTA